AAGTACTGAAAAACCCTCCATCTTGCAATATGAGTAAAATACATTTTAAAGTTTAAGGTGTTTTTAACACTTTTCTCGACTTTTTATTAAAAGCTTCATACTTCTACAAGAGTTTAAAACTAGTTACTATGTCATGTGGCAGATTGAGAGTGTATCTAAATTAAGTTAGTTAAGTAGAAAAGTTTTTTTATAAGGTTGTGAATAATTTGAGAATGAAACTAATAATTTATTGCAAATTTTCTAAGGAGGGCCTCCGAAATCACATGTTTTCAACGGATCTTCTTCATGAAATTTCAAGTAATTTAAAATTATGGGAATGTTATGGGTCTTGTTTGCTTTTATATTTCGTGGATTAAGTTCTATTTTCATGCATGTAAATAAATTTGAATTTTTTGTTTGACTAGTTAATATCTCAAAGTTTAGTAATTTTTGTATTAAAAAAGATAATTATGTGTAATAAGACCTTTTTTTGGTTTGTGTTGTGAACTTATGGTCTTTTAATTTTTAGTTAATTAAAAGACATAATACATAAATATGTTATTTAATTTGGTTTAAGCTAGCATTTATATCCTTCAATTTTGGGTGTACACAAGTAGAAACTTAAACTTATATAAAATTTATAACAAGTAGTCACACGTCCTACATAGCATAATACATGTAGAACACCACATAGAATGCATGTATGACGCCACGTAGGACCAATGTGTCAATTTATTCAATGACATAATATATAAATTTGCTCTTTAACTTTGTCTCATTTTACATTTATGTCCTCCATTAGACAATACTTAAACTTGTAAGAAATTGAACAAATAGACACATGAGTCCTATGTGACATATATAATACACATATGACACTATGTAGGACGTAAATTGACATGTAGGATTATGTAAGGCTCATGTGTCTATCTGTTCAACTTTGTACAAGTTTAAGTGTCTACTTATGCATACTCAAAGTTGGATTTCATAAATGTGAGCAGATGTCAAGTTAAAGTGCATATTTTATGTATCATTTAATTTTATACAAATTTAAATACATACTTATGCACACTCAAAATTTGAAAGCTTATCTCTTAAGTTTAATTTTAAAATTTATCAATTTAACTTATCGATTTTTCACCAAACATGTACACTAGCCAAGTTGAGTGGCTAGCTTATTATTTATCTATATCAATCATGTTCGAGGAAGTTTAACGTCCAACTTTTTCTTTTTGTCTTTTTTGTTTCATTGGAAAAAAAAGTCTCGAATCCAAGACTTTATATTAAATTGTAAAAGATAATTATAAACTACACAAGGCATGTTCTAGGAAAACTTGTTTGGGTCCACTTGTCTTAATCCATTGCTTGAATTGATATATTTTCTATTAACAAAATAAAGACAGTTCATATCACCTAGTGGTGTGGTAGAATGAGTGGCACTTCAATCACTTCTTAATTAGAAATTTTAAATTTAATCTTTGCCAATGAGTTTTGTCGATAAATTTTGTAGGGTCGGTGTAGTGGGGTAACAGGGTCGGTGTAGTAGTGGAGTAAAAAAAATAATGGGGGTAAAAAAATTAAATTTTAAAATTTAAAGTATTTTTCACAAATAAATTTAATTTTAATTTTTTTTTGGTTTGGTGGGGAATGAGGGTTGGTTTGGAAAATGTTTTTCTTCTATTATTATTTTTTATTTTTAAGGGAAGTCATTTTCTCTTAATTTGAGGAAAATAAGTTGATTTGGAAAATATTTTTCAAAATATTTAAATCAATCAAACATGAAAAAATTGGAAACTTTGTACCAAACACACTCCTACCCACCCACCCAACCCGCTTAACCCTTGACCACCTCACCCTCAAACCCTCATTTTATGTCCCTATCCGTCTCTATAACGTTTTGCTAGATAACATTGAAATGATCTTAGAATAATATTTTATTACTTATATATTTACCGAACACTAACAAATAAGTAAGAGACCCACTTATTTTTCAAAGAAATCATTTTCCTTAGGGCCCGTTTGGCCATGCAATATGGAATCATAATATGAAATCATGAGATGAAAATGAAGTTTTGTTTGGATATGCGATATGAAATTTTTGTGTTGTATATTTTCTCATAAACATAAAAATCTCATAAGTTGTAAAACTATTAAAATAGTCTCAATGGTTTATTCAATCTTACAAAATAAATTAAAATTTACAAAATCGCATAATAAATTATTACAAACCTATTTGTTCTCCAATTAAGTAACTTTTTCATCTAACTTTAACTGATCAAACTTTAAATCAATAAAATTAAACATAAATTGTAGTGTACTAGTCTTTAATTTAATTCTTTCACATAGTACGAACGATCTTCTCACGTTGAACTTGCATTTCTCGATAACGAACCAACATTGTTACTTTGAGCCATTTGCTGGTCAATATCATCCGCAACTATATTTTCATGCTCATAGACTATTAATATTTCATCACTCCTTTGGTATTCTCGCAAATAATTATATAACACTGCACAAGCTATGACAATTTTCACTTGTGTGTCAAAATCTAAATGATTCATGCCTTATTTCACTTGTGTGCAATTACACACCAATGCATTAATTTCGTTCTAAAATCAAACATATTGGAAGTAGTGATTATCAAATATACATCACCAATTTTGTCTTTTTTTTCATATTAAATTGCCTTAAACATTTTCATATGTAGCAGAAAGAGAAGTTTTTTTATTATGAAAAATCAAAAAGTATCATTCCCTCTGTTTTATTAATATTCATCAAATCAATTCCTATTTTATCATTTATATTCACCAAATTTAAAGTAATAGTAATAAATTTTATGTTGGTGAGAATAATAAATTTTAAGAAGTAATGATGTGATTATAAATTTTATTTACATATGAAATAAATGGTTAGTAGATATAAATGTGGGGTTGTTTTGACAAAATATAAACTTGTGGGTCAATTTTTGTATTTAAAAAATCTCAAATCATGATACGGAATTCTAAATGGCATAATACATAAACATGATCCTTAGCTTGGTTTCAACGGACAACTATGCCCTCCAACTTTGAGTTTGCACAAGTAGATACTTAAACTTGTATAAAATTGAACAAGTACACACATGTATCCTACATGACATAATACACATAGGACGCCACATAGGTCATAAAATTGCCATGTAGGGTGCCATGTCAGATGAATGTGTCTATTTGTTCAATTTTATACAAGTTTAAGTGCCTACTTGTGCACACCAAAAGTTAAAGGTCATAGTTGCAAGCTAACGTCAAGTTAAGGGTCATGTTTATGTATTATGCCTTTTAAAATCATGATTTTTGGAGAATATGGAATTTCATCTCATGATATGAAATCATAAGATATGAAATCACATTTCTAAACGTTGATTCCATCTCACGATTTCATATCATGACATATGGTATAACACGACCAAACGCGTACTTAGTACCAAACACACTTTTGTCTTATTATTTTCATGTGATTGCTGCTTTTTATTATTATTATTATTATTATTATTAGAGATAAGTGTAAAAAATATACCTAAACTAATAAGTAATAATTTAGGTATAAAATTCACACTCTCAATAGTTTGGATATGAAATTCAAAAAAATAGATAATTTAGATGCATTTTTTGACAATTTATCTCTTATGAATTATTATATTGCACGTAGTATTCTTTCTTTTTTGGGTAGCTCGTTGATAATTTTTATTTGGTTCCTTTAATTTCAGGAATATTAAAAAAAAAGGGAAAATGCATAAATACCCATTTCACGCGTGTAAAGAATTAGCACTTATCTATCAACACGATCGTGTGAATGCGGGGCGGATTCATAATTTTAATTTTATGGGTTTAATTTATAAAACTTGTAGCGTTGAGCTTATTATATTTTTAAAGTTATTAATTAATAACTAATATGTATTGAAGTTTTAACATGCATATACATAAATTTATAGTATTTATAAAAAGTACGAGATTCAGATGAACTACACCCCGAAAGTTGCATCCGCCTCTATGTGAACGCGGAAGATTAATTCTCTACTGAAAGGCAATAGGGACACTCTAGAGGTGGAAAGTAAATTATGGTATGGAACCAAGAAAATGAAGTGGGGAAAATGCATAAGTACCCCCAACTTATGCCCGAAATCTCAGAGACACACTTATACTATACTAAGGTCCTATTACTCCCGAACTTATTTTATAAATAATTTTCTACCCCTTTTCGGCCTACATGGCACTATCTTGTGGGCCCAGCGCGTGTTGACAATTTTTTCAAGGATAGTGCCACATAGGCCGAAAAGGCGTAGAAAATTATTTATAAAATAAGTTCAGGGGGGTAATAAGACCTTAGTATAGTATAAGTGTGTCTCTGAGATTTCGGGCATAAGTTGGGGGTACTTATGCATTTTCCCCACTTCATTTTCTTGGTTCCATACCATAATTTACTTTCCACCTCTAGAGTGTCCCTATTGCCTTTCAGTAGAGAATTAATCTTCCGCGTTCACATAGAGGCGGATGCAACTTTCGGGGTGTAGTTCATCTGAATCTCGTACTTTTTATAAATACTATAAATTTATGTATATGCATGTTAAAACTTCAATACATATTAGTTATTAATTAATAACTTTAAAAATATAATAAGCTCAACGCTACAAGTTTTATAAATTAAACCCATAAAATTAAAATTATGAATCCGCCCCGCATTCACACGATCGTGTTGATAGATAAGTGCTAATTCTTTACACGCGTGAAATGTTAGATTCAAAGAAATGACAACGAAATTAACATGAATGAAAAAAGGCAGAGACCTCACGTTTATTTAATTAGCAAACGGGAAGGTAACTCGAGACATTTAACTTAACCCCAAGAAGGATAAAAAATCTTTGCTTTGTGAATTTTTTGTGTCCCACTCCATTTTACTGGTTTCTTACCATAATTTACTTTCCACGTCTAGAGTGTCCCTATTGCCTTTTTTTTGGTATTTCTATTTGGTGAATGTCGCTTTAGTTCAGTTAATATATATATAGTTAAAGTTGACAAATCAGAATTTATTTTTGCAATAAGAAAAAAATTCAGTAGAGGGATTTTAGAGATGTCAATAGACACAATGATGGAAGAATATGATCAGTATTCCTCTGATTCTAATACAGACGCAATCATCTACGGCGTTTCTGAGCCTTGTACATCCGATGAAAGCATGATCTCTGATCCCAACATTCCATCATCATCATCATCGTCAGAGGACGATGATGACCAGCAGCAGCAGCAGCAACAGATATCTATTGCTGCTGCGGCTAGTGGTGATGGGACAAATGATTTGACTGAATCATCATGTGCATCGTCCAGCCGGTTTACAGATGAAAATCAAATTGCTGAGCAAAGAGCGGTAATGACATTTAACGTTGATTTTGGGGAACTTTCTGGGGTTGCTGTTGGCAAAAGCTGTAATATTGAAATTGGTCACCGTTTCCACCCAGGTTTTCATTATGGGGGTAATGAGCCAATCGAACATCCATTGTCACCTAGGTCTTCAGTTTGGGATTTGCAAGTGGAAGATGACCTTTACGATATAATTAATTGGTTGGTAGGTAACATTGAAAAGCCTCATTTTGTGTAAAGCTTGACAATTTTTACTTCCGTATTTGGCACACTAAAACGCTTGTTTAGATTGGCTTAAAAGTGTCAACAAACTTAAAAATATGTATTTACGAAGTTGCTTGACACAATGTAGGTTTGCCCCTGCTGATATTGGTGGAACTTAAGTCACACACATTTGAGTCGCTAAGGAGCAGAATCAGAAAGTGTTCTACGGTTATGTTTTTCAATTGCTGTACCTCGTCGTAAGGATGCAAATGAAACCGTATGAACCCGCCCCACATAAATTTACCCGCATAATGTTTTAATTAAAAGTAATGTAATTTTTTTATTTCTTTTTGCTAACGTTGAAATAATATATGTATCTTCATTTCAAAGCCAAATTGTAGAATGTATACCGTCATTAACTGAACTAAGCTTTAAGTCCTCTTCCATCTTTGCCTTTTCTTTTGTAAATAAATAAATTTTATTAATTGTGTGTTAATTTTTTATTTTTTTTTGGTAATTAGTAACTTTTATTAATCACCAAAAGTAGGCATTACAAATCAATGGTCAGGTTAAACGCAACCCGCCATCTTAACTAAAAAGAAACTTAGAAGGAGCTACCAAACAGATGCTAAAACTTAAATAAATCTTGGACAATACACTTGATTTTGGGAGGAGCTCTAACACATAGACATAGGCTATCTCCTTTGCAATTGATTCCCATTCCCTATCTCTCTTTTCGAATATGCGAAAGTTCCTCTCCATCCAAATGGCATAGATAGTCTCAGAATACACTATTTTGAAAACCTGAGCTCCTTGGGAGTTCCCCTTAGAATTTGCAATCATCCAATCCAAATGTTGGTCCCAAGTAGAAATTGTACAATGCTGTATTGTTGTCCAATTATCCATCTTGATCCATATCTGCTTAGCATAGTCACAATGCACAAATAAGTGTTCTTTGGTTTCCTCATGCTTACAACAGAGTGGACATTTTGGATCAATCTGCATTCCCCATTTAATCAATCTATCAGTTGTTAATAGTCTTCCCCACATGAGTAGCCAAGTAGTGAATATAGCCTTAGGCCTTGCTACGTTCTTGTACATTATTGACTTCCAGGATACTCTAGGGCATATATTTAGATTAGCATAATATATCTGTCTGATCATGCTCTTACCTAGCTGGCCGTTTGGAATTTGTTATAACATGTCTTGTGACCCAAAGATACATCTTATCAACCAGCACGCCTGTTTCGGTATTTGGATATGCTCTAGTTGCTGCCCTTTTATATAATACGTGTGGATCCACCTAATCCAAAGTTTGTCCTGCTTGTTGGTAATATCCCACAAAGACTTCGCTAGAGCTGCTTTGTTCCACAAGGAGATATTAATCAAGTTTAAACCCCCAACACACTTGGGGTTACAAATATACTCCCAAGCTACGAGAGCTTTCTTCGTGATTGTACCACTCCCTGCCCATAAATAACTCTTACAATGTGCATCTATAAGATGTAAAACTTTAGCTGGTATGGAGAATAGTTGTGCCCAATAGGCTTGGATGCCAAATATTGCTGATTTAATGAGTTGAGCCCGACCTGCATAGGATAGGTTCTTGGCAGTCCAAGATGAAATTCGAGATGTTATCCTGTCCAGTAATGGTTGCCATTGGATGATGGAGATCTTTTTGGTAGCTAAGGGCACTCCTAAATATTTAAAAGGTAATTCACCATAGCTAAATCCCAATATCTGAAGGATTTTGTCTTGTTCTTCTCTAGTTTCCCCACCAAAGTAAACTGAGCTCTTACCAAGGTTAGCTACAAGTTCAGATGCTTGAGAAAAAAGTTTGGAAGCAGTTGCGGAGAGCAGATGCTGAAGATGTGTCTCCTCTAGCCAAGAGAAGTAAATCGTCAGCAAAACACAGGTGACTGATGTTTAGCTTAGCGCATCTAGGGTGGTAGTGGAAGTCTTTTATCTCCTTCAACCCCTTCAGTAGCCTACTCAAGTACTCCATTCCTATGGCAAAAAGGAATGGAGACATGGGGTCCCCTTGCCTCAACCCTTTGGCAGCATTGAAAGGCTCAGTAGGTTCTCCATTGATGAAGATATTGTAGCTAACAGTTTGCACACATTCCATAGTCCAATTAGTGAACTTTTCAAGGAAGCCAAGCTCAATCATGACTGCATGTTTCAAATAGCCCCATTCCAGTGAGTCATAAGCCTTTTGTAAATCAATCTTAATCATACATCTAGGGGATATATTCTTCCTTTTATAGCCTTTAATCAATTCATGAGCAAGTAGAATATTGTCCCCAATCTTTCTACCAGCTTGGGCTTCACAAATAATATGCGGCATCACATTTTGTAATCTGTTTGCTAGGATCTTAGCAATGATCTTGTAAAGGACAGAGCAACAAGCAATTGGTCGAAACTCCTTGATTGTGGCCGGGTTAGAAGTTTTAGGTACTAGTGTAATTGTTGTGCAGTTAATAGATCGAGGCATCTTACTTGTGGTAAAGAAGTCTTCGATTGCATCCAATACCTCTTCTTTGATAATGGACCATGACTTTTTGAAGAAGACTACATTATAGCCGTCTATACTTGGTGCTTTCGTCATCTCCAATAGCATTCAAGCTAGCAAATATCTCTTTATCAGTAACTGGAGCTATGAGGCTTATTCTTTGCAGTTGTTGGAGTTGAGGGCCTTTCCTCATGATCAGTTTATTAACAGCTGGTAGCAGCAGTTCCCATAAGGCCCTTTATAAAAACTAATAATCTCATCCTTAATAGCTGACCGATCTGTTTTGCATTAGACCTCAATTCTGATATCTGCTTTCTTTGGGTCCTTTCAAGAGTCATTCAAGTAATTAAATTTGTTGAACTAGAGAGGACTGAATTTTATTTTAGTTTGTTCTCTCTAATGTATACGTACAATTTTTTTATTATTATCAATTCACTGCTCTAGCCTCTAGTCTGTACATAAAGCCATAATTTTAGAATCAAACATCAGCAAATGGACCATGTATATAAATAGTGAAATTAATAATTAAGAAAGACTTAATGATAATCATGGCATAAGTTAAAACAATTGATTCCTCTAAAATATCAAAACTTACATTAAACAAGACTTTGTTAGACATGCCAGTTGCCTCCCCTGTTTCCAAGAAACAACACATTTATATTCTTTAGTTAAGTTTCAAAAGAAAAATTCCCAACCCGCGTATCCGCCTAGCCCCGCATATTTCTTTTCAAAAATATTTTATACTCGCCCCGCAAAAACTCTAACCTGTCCTGCCCAGCAAATACTATTACCCGCCCCTCTCCTCAACCACCCCACCCCATTGCCATCCCTATCTATATCAGTCATGTTCGAGGAATTTTAACGTCCAACTTTTTCTTTTTGTCTATTTGTTTCATTTGGAAAAAACTCTCCAACCCAAGATTTTATATTACATTGTAAAAGATAATAAACTACACAAGGCATGTTCTAAGAAAACTTGTTTGGGTCCACTTGTCTCAATCCATTGTTTGAATTGATATATTTTCTATTAACAATAAAGAGAGTTCTTATCACCTAGAGGTGTGGTAGAATGAGTGGAACTTCAATCGCTTAGAAATTTTAAATTTTAACTTTGCTGATGAATAAATTTTGGATACTAAATGATTATAAAAGTCCGAAGGGTCCATTGTTTTTTATTAGTCATGAATATTCCATGTTCGAAGGAGCATGGGCGGAGCCATCTTAGACGATGGATAGTTCAGTGTACAATTTTTGATGGAAAACTATGTGATATACAAAGATTAAATATTAGTTATTCTTAGTGCATATTTATTTTGCACACTAACTCAACTAAGAAGAAAATTTGTATATCCTTCGCTAAACTTCGAACCTTTGAATGGATGTTCTAGCCTTCAGGTATGAAGATTGGAGAACTTCCGTCCAAAGGTTTGAATTTGGGAATTGCTCTTGTAAGGAAAACCCAAGTGAGTTTCTCTCAATCAAGGATATTGAGGGATTCCTTGATTGAGGCGATTTTCTGATTCATATCCATATTAGATATGTTCATGAGCACATTGATTGATTGTTCAAAAAATGTACCTATTAAACGCAAAATGCTAATATGACAAAAGAAGTGTTCTTCACTTGCTTTGGGCGCGTGAAATTTTTTGGAATTCTGCTTTATTTTTATTTTTTCCAAAAAAACTTAAACTTTTCTTCTTCAATTGACACTTGGCATTTAAATAAATTAAAATATTTTTTTAATATTTTTAAAAATAATAATTCTTAATCCAAAAAAAGAAAAAACACCCCTACCCCCCCTTCAAGTCATCTTCAACCCCAAATTTAAATTTTCAAGGACAACTAAAGAATCTCCATTTTTTATTTTTGTTTTTTTTTCTTTTCTATTTCTTTTCAATATTCATAAAAAAATAATTGAATCAAGGAACTGAATTTGCAAGAAAAATAACAAAAGCAGATTTTTAAACATTGGGGTGAAAAAAGTAAATCGACGTTCCATCTCCATTTCCGGTCACCTTCGAATAAATATCACCATTCAAATTAAATTGTAAACCCACTAAACTTATCAAAAACAATATCAAATAATTCGATAAAATTAATTTAGGTCCTCTTGATTTTTCCTTGCAATTGATTTCAAGATGATTAACCATTGGCAAACTTCTTTTCTTCATCACTCTTGTACCGACTCTTCGAATATCTTTCTCTATCACGTATTAGGAATGAAAAATAATTTTCGATAAAATTAATTTGGGTCCTCTCAATTTTTCTTTGCAATCGATTTCCAGATGAGTAACCATTGACAAACTTCTTCATCACTATTGTATCAATCTCTTTGAATATCTTTCTCTCTCACGTATTAGGAATAAAAGAAAATTTCTTAAAAAAGGGAATCTGCAAGTAATTTGCAGTAAGTTGGTTTATGTGGTTGAGAAAAAAATTGGTGAGAAGAAGATGAAGAAGAAAGGGGGTTGGGTAGGGTGTGGTTGAGTAAAATGTGTTGTCATTTCATTTGTTTTTTAATTAAAAAATATATACAAAATATATTTGAAATAATTTTCATTCTTTTTAAAGCATTATAAAAAAAATCCATAGTTGTTGGGGTCAAGTGACACTTGTCATCTTTTAATTAGTCATTTTTGCCACATCATAACAAGTGTATCACACACACTTTACTTTTTTTTACTGATTATCGAAAAAGGTCTAATATGAACACGTTTTGGATAGATAAAAATGTTCAATAGGTACCAGTCCTAGTTAAAGTGTCTAAGTGAATTATATGGATAACTTTAAGGGGCCACAGATAACTTAAGCCTAAAACTTTTAACAAAAATGGTCACATGTATATATAATGTATGACGTATATATATATATATATATGATATATAACTATGTATAAAAGATATATACATTCATATTCACTATTTATACAAATCTATACATGGTAATAATTTAGTTTTTTTTCATAATTAAAAGTCTCCAATGATAATTGGTGTAAAAATTTACAAATATGAATTTGACATCTCGAACTTTGTACATGCCATTGAGAGGAGACTAATAATCTAGTCCTATGCAAAAATGGTAACAATGGGGGTAAATATTAAAATACAAAATGAATTTCACTCAATTATATTATCCTTACAGAATATTTTTTCAGATTTCATTTTTTCTTTTTTCGGCTCCGATTTTGTGTAACCTAAACAATTTCATTGTCTCACTCCGCTCGCCTTCAAAAACTTATTTCTGCCTTTAGCACATAGCAGTCGACGCAGAAGAGAGCATCCCTACGAAATAGTCAGACTTCCTTCCTCTGTTGTTAGTATTCGTACATACATACACTAATGTAAGTGGAATCAATCACCTAAATGACATGATTTCATCTCTATCGAATTTTAATATCAGTCATGCCCAGCAAATACCATTACCCGCCCCTCTCCTCAACCACCCCACCCCATTGCCATCCCTATCTATATCAGTCATGTTCGAGGAAGTTTAACGTCCAACTTTTTCTTTTTGTCTTTTTGTTTCATTGGAAAAAATTCTCCAACCCAAGACTTTAGGTGTGTTTGGTATGAAGGAAACGGAAAATGTTTTCCAATTTTTTCATGTTTGGTTGGGTTAAATGTTTTGGAAAATGTTTTCCAAATCAACTCATTTTCCTCAAATTTAAGGAAAATGACTTTCCTTCCAACTTCAAATTACAATTATTTTTTTGTTGAAAAAATCAATTTATTTTGTCCCTACCCGCAAACCTCCCCCCAACCA